CAGGAAGAGTCTCGTGATGAAAGTGATTAGACGTTAAATCCTCATTTACTGATGCAGAAGTGTTCGACTCCGATGTCTGTGATGTCACTGCCGGTTCAGTCGGTGTTCTGTCTCACACCTGGCACAAGGAGGAAATCAAAAAAAAAAAAAACGTAATCCTGTTAAACAAATAAAATAAATCACTAAGTTCACTGGTTCGATTCTTGAGACCAAACAAAGTCATTTATTTGATCAAATCTATATCCAGATCAGGTTTACTGTTTGCTTGGACTGTGCCCCCCCCCCCCTCATCCCTTTTCCACTTTTACCTAATGACTGATAAGATTAGCAGCAGACCGCAGTTATCCTGAAAAAATGTTGAATCAGTAGAGATTGAATAAATGAACCAGTGATAAGAGTTGACAAACACATTTGTACAGTTTTCACTCAGACATGACGTAAATCTCAGGCTAAAATACCTGTTTTGAGCTGTGTCAGCGGGGGGTGGGGGGGCAGAGAGGAGCGGGGTACGTGGGGTGTGAATGCATGGGAATTTGACTTCATGGTAGTTGTGTTTTTCTTTTCGACTCCAGCTTTTTATCAGCACCATTACACAAACAGCGTGTGCCGTGCACGCTAATGAGGCCTGGCACAGGTGTTCTCGTTTACGCCGCGACGCTCTGGACAACCTTACGTCAAGTTTAGAGCAGGATCTTAAAAGTAATTACACCGCAGTTACCTGTAATGCACACTGAGACCTGCTTGAAGCCTGTCTGTGAATCTGGCACATTACCTATTTAAAGGTTTCTCTGATGGTCCAGACCTGGACCAAAGAAACCGCACATTTAATTTGGCCGAACTGCAAATGTCAACACTTCTCTCTCTCCTGGTTCTGCACTTTGTTGTTGCTGTTTCTGTCTCAAAAAATAAATAAATAAAATTTTTAGCCAATTTACCCAACTACCCAAATCAAGATCCCTGTTGCCTCTGAACCAGAAAAAGTTAATGTTAGCGTTGTATGTTTGTGAAGAAAATAGCTGAAAGTTATTCTCTGTGCTAATAAAGAGCCAAGAAAATGAACTGAAAAAACAAAAAGAGCTAAAATGTAGTAACGTTGCTACACTACATGTTAGCATGATCATATCTGAAAGCTAGCCAAAAACAGAGGTGACAATTACAGTACTAGCCTAGTAATTGTTAAATTTGTTTGTTTGAACTTGAATAGTTAGAATAGTTGATAAAAAGTCAATAAAAAGTCCAACCAAACAGCCAAAACTGTACAACTGTGGGGAAAAAGAACACGATCTTAGCAATACTTAATACTCAATACTCAAATTTGTCCTAAAGATCCTAACATTTGAAGTTATAGATTTTAAAACCATCACCATCAGAATCTATTCTTCATCTTCCTCCAACTTCTTTTTAAATCTGGTTTTAAGCTGGAGTTGCTCCACCAGGTTGCTCAGTAGACAGACAGACTCCTGGTCTCCACCTCACCATCACAGTACACCTGCGGACAGTCCGAGGATGTGATCACAGGTCTGCTAACTCATTGAAGGTGCAGTAAATAAGGGTCTTTGTTGTGGTTGGAAGCCCACGTTCATGGAGAAGGACGGGGGTTGACCGGTGTCCTCCACTTGTCCTTTATCTCAGCCTCCTTCTGTGATGGAGCTCCGTTTGCTGTGAGGGCGGCTGATGGAAAAAGTGAGAGCGAGAGTGAAGTGTCCAAGGACGTGGATGGTGATTACTCACAAAGCTTCTGTGAACGCTGCCAAACACTTCAGGTTGTTATTCTCTCTCTCACTTTCTCTGAGTCATCCAGTAAAAGAGCTTCCTCCTTCCCAGCGGTGGTCACAGGGAAGAGGCTCCAAGACGGCTGTTCGTCAGAGGAAAGGCATTAAACCCAGGGCAAAATTAACACCTTGTAACACACACCACAAACATTTCCAGCCAAAACTGGCAGTGTATAAAAGACTACACGTTTGCAGAAGAGATTTACTGAGACCATGGAAAAGATGTTAATGTTTTTTTTTTTGGTGGTGGTGCAGGAGTCCAAATACTTTACTTCATCTAAGGGAGAAAACAATGAAGGGGATTGATGAGGCTACTAAAGCAGTGAACCATCATCTCTGAGGGAGAAAAGCAGCGAAAAATAAATGAGCGCGATTAATGACTGCAGTGAAATCAAAAACACAAACGGTGGAAATCACGATCACGACTTCACGACTGTGAAGTGAAGGCAAGATATTTTCCATGCGTTGAAACAATAAGCACAAAGACTTATCAGTTTGTTTCATATCTTCAAAATTGGCCTCTGTGGTGTTGAGAAAATCTCTCTGGATCTGGTGAGTCCAAAAAAGTTCTGTTCAGATGTGATGAAAACATCAAGGCAGAAGGAGAGGTAGATAAAGTGACCCAGACAGAAAATATGAGCAGCCAAAAGCAGATATATATCAAGCAAATACTTCATTTTATTTGGCAGATTTATTGTATGAATGGTCCTACCTGGTGAAGAGCAGGAAGATCAAGTGTTTGCTGGTTCAATTCCTAGTGGTTTTTGGTTTTGGGTTTGCCTGCTTCTCCGTAATTGTGCGTGGTTTTCTTTTTGTACTCCTCACTTTGTGAACCTCGCACAACGTCTGCTGGGATTGGCTGCCGACCCACCATGACCCTTAAAATGATTAAGCGATAGAATATGAATGACTTTGTGCCAGTCAAGGCGTCGACTTATTTACCAGATGTGGGCCACAGCCTTGACACAGAGCAGCCAAAAGTAGTCTACAAGAACTGGTCCCAGTATGGGTTAGGCTTAGGTGACATTTATGTTACGTCCGATATCTGACAGAAAAGAAATGTGTTTATTTTTAAATAAGTGGGTCACGTGTGGGCCAGATGAAAGCCTGTAGTTCTGTATCACAGCCAGTGGTGGCCCACATCCAGATGGCCACAGAGTGATCAGCCATGATACTGAGTGATGATGATGTTGATTGGTTGTTTTGGTCATGTCTAATGTCAGCAATGTTATGATTCTGAACATGAGGTCAGCTGACCACATCTCTGCTCTGATTGGTCTGGTTTTTAATTGTTTTTTTTTTTGTTTGTTTGTTTTTCTTCTTCACGGCAGCATTCAGCATGAGTCTATTGTGAGACGTTAAGAATCTTGGCAGTGGAGAAGTTCCACCATTCATATTAGGGTGACTGGGTAGAAAATAATACAAAAGCATATTGGTAAATCTCAGTTCCTGTTTTCACTTTGTCTCCATCAGTCCTGGGGCTGTGCTGCTATTATTAAGTTTCCTATTCACAGGATATTTTAAGCTGGGTGCAGGTTGCCTTGTCCTCAGCCTCTAATCCTTCACTGAGTGACTGAAACACCGTTGATTAATGAAGTGCAGCCATCCTGGACATTTTTTTTCATCTGACTCCTCAAAGTGCTGAACTTTCTCTGCTTTCACATCATCTATTACCAAATTATTAGCGTCCAATCCAGAAGAAGGGAGGACGACAGAGCGGGGGAGGGAGCTCAGAGACACCACTACTGCCTCTGCAGCCTGGCATAAATCAGCAGGCTAATAAATTGAAAGCTAAATGACTTCTTGCCCTCGACATATATCATGGAGGCAAACCAAATGAAGCCTTATATACCCCAGAGGACAGAGGAATGCTTCTGTTCATAACAGTGATTTGTGGACGGACGGCTCTCAGGACGGTTGGCTTTACAAGTGTGTGCTCCCTGCGTGCACTCGTACTCTGATACTGCAACACGGAGGTACACAGGTACTGAAACCAAAACAAAATTAATTAAGCACTGGAATAATTACTGCACTGATGAAAGATTTACTTTCTTGTAGCTGAATAAGTGTCACATTTAGAGATAGATTACATCGAAAATAATTACTACATAAAATGGAAATATATTAAAATGTGTTTAATGTATATAATATGTTAATCTAAAACTGAAACTAACAAATGAATTTGAGCTAAAATAATATAGTCTCTAAAATCTGTACAAAAAGCAGCACAATGGCGCTATCCAGTGGATTGACAGCGCATGTGCATGTGTAAATAAAGAAATACATTGTGAAGAAGTTCTTAGGAACTTAGGTTACTGTTTACCTATATAAACAGTGGGTACGGACAGTTTTCCCCTTAAGAAAAACTGAAAAATCTCATGGTCATAAGTATTCAGACCCTTTGCTGTGACACACTAACTCAGGTGCTCTCCATTTCTTCTGATCATCCTTGAGATGGTTTGGAGTCCAGCTGTGTTTGATTTTACTGATTGGACTTGATTAGGAAAGCCACACAGCTGTCTATGTAAGACCTCACAGACAGAATTGTGACAAGGCACAGATCTGGCCAAGGTTACACACACACAAAAAAAAAAAAAAAAAAAATATTCTGCTGCACTTAAGGTTTCCTAAGAGCGCAGTGGCCTCCTTAATCCTTAAATGGAAGATGTTTGGCATGACCCGAACCTTTCCTAGAGCTGGCCGTCCGGCCAAACCGAGCAATCAGGGGAGAAGAGGTTGGTGAGAGAGATAAAGAAGAACCCAAAAATCATTGTGGCTGAGCTCCAGTGATAGTCGGAGCTTTATGACAGAGTGGCTGACGGAAGCTTCTCCTCAGTGTGAGACACACCTGAAACACCCGAAGGACTCCAAGATGGTGAGAAATAAGACTCTCCGGTCTGCAGAAATGTCAACAATGCTGTGTTTTTCTGTCAATATGGGGTGCTGTGTGTACATTAATGAGAAAAGGAAGGAAGTGGTAAGGAAGTGGGTCCCACTTTGGGAACCACTTCCTTATTGGACACATGTTGGACTGAATGATGTTGGCTCAGATCTGTTTATGTCTATGGTATATTTATACTCCAAGAGGAAACTGTTAAAATAACCGATTAAGTATTTGACATTACTTTGATGTTAAAACCTTGAATCTGACCAGTCCAACAAGTCAGTACACGGTCACTTCCATGTCAGGATTAAATCAATTCCCTTTGTTGACACGGTTTTTCTTTCTTTTTATTGGATTTACTTTTCCTGCCGCTCTCTCTGAGCCAAGGTGAAGTGGGTTCAAAGCTCTGTGCTCCCAGGCTGACGGAGGACCAGCGCACAATGCTCTCAACTGAAACTAGCTTAAACAAACAGAGCAGAGGACAAGCAAACAGACAGAAAATCAATAGAACACAACAAGCATTTGTTCCAATAATATGATCTAACTGTGCTACAATAATAAAAAAAACAATTGATGTATAATTGCATTTTAATCACCTGCACATATTTGGCCTCACTTTTGTTATCACACTCATTGTGAAATATAAAAGGGATCAGAACCAATCACAGGATTTTACAGAGTTTTTTTTTTCATTTACCACGGTACAGTTCCGTTTCAGCGTCAGTGTCACAATTATTAGATTTCTGTGACTACAGTTTAGTCTTCATGGCACCACTCTAAATACTCTGAATTTCATAATTCATTATATCACAACAATTAACACAAAAATCAATATATTATCTTAGACAACAGATCATCCACTCTGTACATGTAAAAAATAACTCAATAAAAAACAAACACATGACTCGACAACTACACAACAGTGTTGATGATGTAAGTACAGTAAGAACAGCTGCACTGTGGTTGATGCTTTGATTTATGACAAAGGAAAACAAAAAAAAAAATCTTATATCCAGAGATAAACTATCACTTATGGCACATAACTCAACAATCAAGACAAAGTTAACATATTCAACCATTTAAGGCTGTGAATTAGTAACAGTGTTCACATTTATTAGCATTGAGTCTCGTCAAATGCAATTCCCCACAGGCATTTCTGACCTAGAGGTTTATGATCATTTGACTGGCTGAAAAACCAACACAGTCTGTTTTTCTACTAGAGGAAACCTGGGGGGGGAAACAAAACTGCTCTGTAGAAAGAACAGGTAGAAAAAAACAGTACAGTCAGTGGAAAACGGAGTTGTCCTACGTGTGTTTGTTATTTGTACATGTGGTCTGGCCTAGTATTATATAAGTAAAACTGATAGACCACATTATGTATAACCTGCTCAAAATATCATTACTAGTGCTCCGCAATATACATGGGTCTCTTATAGATGCTCTGTTTTTAAGTATCTAAAAAACAGTGAAGTACTAATCTTTACATGTGTAGCCAGGTAGCTCTGTTTTCAATATTTGCTTTAGGGCAAAGTCCATACCAGACGAGCTGTGTTCACTGACAACTAGTTCTATATGAGGCTGAAGGATCCTGTCTTCTAACAGTGCACAATGCTGTGAGCTAAAAACCGGCAGGTTTCTGCTCTTTGTTCACTGTTATGCACATATCATGCACACGGCTGTCGTTAAAATGAAAAAATGGTCCCAGTTCAACCACAGATCAGAGGGTGGAGACTGTGCTACGTGATATAGTTATTGTGAGATGAAATGAAATTCCTTCACAGCTATATTACGGTGACTACATTTTCACCTGGTGAGGTCACAGGAGACAGTGCAGGACCATGTAGATCCTGAAATGGATTCAAACAGAGCCAGAGCGGAAAGCGTGAAGTAACATCTGTGTTAAAAAAACAACTTACAGGGTTGTAACAAAAACTCTCTTTGTTTGGTCAGCTCCAGTGTGTGGAGGTTCACGTCGTCACTAAAGTGTCTTTGAAAAAGGTTGGCTTTTTGGGTATGCAGATGCACGGAACACGTCCAGGCAGTTTACTGTGATGAGGGCTCCAGTCAGCTGCCTCCACTGTCTGGTAGCAGGGTGTTTCATTTTGTCCAGAAGCAGGTGCAGATCCTGGATCATGTCCCTGTAGCTGTCTCCATAATGTAGACTCCAGGAGTACAGGAAGTCATAGGCAGGTTTCCACATTGACTGTAGACAAACGACATGAATGGACAGTGTAATACCACGACGCAGAGGATGCTCCTTCCATATATATATACACATATAATATACCCACATATATGTATATATTTATGTGTATGTATGCATGTATATATCTATCTATCTATATATGTATACACATGTATTTATACATATATAGTTATGCTCAATATATTTATATTGACTATAAATATATATAAAATAAATACTGTATATTGAAATATATGAATCCTTACTGTGGGACGAATAAAGAACTTATTTTATGTTGAGAACCACTGTTCTTTATCACTTAATTTAAAAATGTGAAAATAGGCTCCATACACTTTGGCCTGTAAAACTTGTTTTTATGATCCTTTTTTCCTCATTTCGTAGACAAAAAGCCCTTTAAGTTCTAACAAAAATGTCCGTCCCAGTTTAAAAATCAGTGACCTTCTGTTAAACCTCTGCCCATTTTTTTTTTATTGTGTGTTCTATTTAACCGACCTGAGGTCCAACGTCTCCATTCTTCCCTTTGTGTGGCGACTCGTAGCCGGCAATCTGAGCACTGGACAGTTTTCCCATCTTCTCTGCCAGCTCCCGCCATCGAAATCCCAGTTCCACAGCAGTGGACAGGATGACAGTGTTCTGAATCAACTGGGCCACCAGGTTCACAGAGTTCATCTTTAACAGGCCCTAAAGACAGCAACACAACAAGTGCTGTCAATACCATGAATGAAATAGTTGTTACAATTATCATTATTATTTTTTGGTTTTAAATGTTATTGCTAACCATGGCTAGCTATATAGCTAAATGTTATTGCTAACCATGGCTAGCTTGGATACATTGTTAGGGCTAATGCTTTTCAGACTACTCACCACCATAAGTTCATGCAAAAACTTCTTTTTGCTCCTGTCAGCGTGACAGTCTTCCTTCAGCTTCTCCAGGACACACGCCACCTTATCCCCCTCACTTTCCGCTTGCCTCCGTGTTATAGTGTCCAGCGATATGCCGTTGTATCCCAGAGCGTTAGCAAAAGCTCTCCAGCTGCTGATGTGCTCAGTGACCAGGGTTTGTATGGCGGAGTACATGTACGTCAGCTTGTTAAAGGGCAGCGTGATGTTGTCCAAGAGAACCTCGGTGGTGACCCGGATGCCGGTGAAGTCAATGACCTGGTCTCTGGTGATGAGCTTGATGTTTCTGCAGTGAATCAAACCAATTCTGCCTCGAAGGAATCCAATATACCACTCTTTTACCTTGGTGTTTCCCACAGACTTAACAGTCTCTCTGGAAAGAAGAGCAATAGTGTCTCCCTTGAAGTACTCAAGCAGGTATTCTACCCGGGGCTGACGGAGAACTGACTTCAGGGCGACTCCATACCAATGTAGATTCACAGGTTTGTCTTCAAACGTTGGGAATTCTTCAAGTCTTTCCTCAGGAATGGGTGAGGATCTTGGCAAGTCAGAACGCCTTTCTATATGTCTTGCCACCCGCTTCTCTGATCGAATGGGCGGAGCGGGAGGTGAGGACACTTGGAAATGTGCGGCGCTTACGGTGTTTGACTCCTTCAGGTGTAGATCTAATTTAAAAGGAGTCATTTCTGTATTAGCGGGATTGGCTAACGCAACTGGCAGATTTAAAACTGTCCCAATTTTCAGCTGACTTTGCCGGACTTCTTTTACTTTGTCCTCAGCCTTGACCGTGAATGCAGAACCTCTGATGCCGACATTGACCTGCAGGTTCTTCACTCTGTCTGGTTTAAACTGATGTTTTCCCCAAAGTTGTAGCACAAGAGGAGGCAGGTACTTGTTGCCTCTGCATATATCTGAAAACGGAAGTTTTTGTGGAATATCTTCGTAACAGCACACCATTATTACAACTTTGAAAGACGGATGGATGTATCTGGGACCATAAACTGCCACGGTGATCCGACGGTCGAGGTAATCCCACACGGACGTAGCAGGCGGCTGAATCACAGACGCCTCTGCCACTGCAATAACAAAAAAATGTGTCTTCAGATGCTGAAGCTTCATCTGCATCGTGTTCTTGTGAATGTAACAGTCGTCCACTTTTACATAAGGTCCCTCTCTTTTGTTGGACACCAGTCCAACCAGAGTGGTCTTTGTCTGACTCAGTGGGTCACTCTTCACTTCTCCGGACAGTTTTACATCTAGAGAAATGCCCTCTTTTGTGTTGATGTTGCTAAGGAGCACCTCCAGGAGAGGACTCATGGTTGTCTTGTAGTTGTTATTGAGTCCAGGAGGAGGATCTAACATTGCTTTCAGTGTAACTTCCTGCACCTCTCCCGGTTGAACATGACCCTGTGGTATATGGATGGTAACGTGCGAGTCTGGTAACTGAACTGATCCTCCGGTGTGGCCGATTTTTGTGATAACCTGAAACCCCGAGGCCTGTGTCTGAGCCCAACCAGGACTCTGGCTCATCAGATTCAGGTCCAGACATGATCGCGTCAGCTGCCTGTGGCTCAGCCAGGCCATCTTATAGGCCTCTCTGTCATTCTTCAACCACTCAAAGTCTGGGTTCAGCACCGGACTCGGCATTTTGAAGTTGTCCCCGTGTTTCGACTCTTTTCGTTCCAAGTCGCCCAAGATGTCTGAAGCGCTCCTCCATCTCCCAGACCTGTTTGTAACTTTGTTCTTGTTGTCCAGAAAGTTCCCCACGTTGCCTTCATCTGAAGATGTGCTAATGGCGTCCCCGTTGTTGGTGTGCCCATGTTTTCCGTTGTCCTGTTTTATGTCTGTTGAGTTGGAAATGTTCTTGTCAGTGCTTCCGTGCACAATGTCGTCCAAGAAGGGGTTTGATGCAGAGAGTTTGTTCCAGAAGGGATTCTTTGTCTGAGCGGTTTGAGTAACGTTTGGCTGTAGGAGTGGCCACTCTGAGTTATGTAAGACTCCTGTCACATGTGATCCTGTAGAAACAATAGTAGTGAGTTAGACTCAGTTAGCTTGACACAAACTGTAAATTTACTGAAATGTTAAAAAATCAACACATTCGACTTTACCATTTAGGTTGTAGCTTGTTGAGTCGTTGACATCGAGGTCAATCAACGTCCCCTCTGATTTACTCCGCATTAAACTACCAACACGATGAAAGGATGTTCCTCCGGACGTCATATTGTCAGCTGTAAATATCAAAATATAGTTTGGACCATTTTCTACAGTTTTATTCCCACATTTTACCTGTTATAAATTAAATGTCCACACACTTGGTGCCAAAAGTATAATGTTATGACTTTTTAAATAATTATGCACATTTTACTTGTCGTAAGAAAGGGTTATATTGAAATTGTTTTCCAGGTACTGTGTAACAACCTGTTTGTAAAATTACCAATTACATTTTAAATTGCATGTAATTTAATTGAATATTTATAGCCTGAAAAAGAAGCGATTAGATTCCTATAGTGTTATTGTTACGGACAATGAGTCATTAAAAACAGGATAAGCAATGCAGCCACTGCAGTATCTAAACATTGATATTTTGCATAAATATGTTTTAATTAAATATTTCAAGTGATAAACTTAACTTAACTTCGCTTTTAATAATGGTATCAACTTACATTCTGTTTTCTTTACAGTCCCTTTTGCAAATTTAAAACCTGTTTAAGGTATTTTTGCAAAGAATGTCTTCCACAATTACTGATAGACTTCTTGTGAAGTAACACGACTCACAATTATACATTGCAACACAGGGAACTGGATCTTGCAGGTCAACCTAGGAGGGCAAATAATGACAACAAAGTATTTGACAATCTAAAAAAAAACTACTTTAAAAGGGCGCAGCGTTAGAGTAAAAATACACAGCACAGCAAAATACTGATTAGTATCGTTCTATAAACAAGAACGCTAACTGCCTTTTCGGTAAACCTGATGTCATGTTCCCTTATTTTGTATATTGTAAAATACAGGTGAAAACATTACGGATGTTTTGACTTGTCTCAGTCAAAACATCTTGTGAGGCCGGATGAGATTTACACTGTGTCAAAGAAAAGCAGAGTAAAACCTGAACTCAACGGTCACTTGTATGTGTAAAAAGACACTACACCATTCACTAGCTGACACCGTGAGTCAGTCATTAATAATGTGGTTTCTTACACCACTGCACACAAACAGGTTGGTCTTGTCAAGCCATTTACACTGTAGTGTTGTTTTGGGTTTTTTTTACACCAGAGACTCGAACTCTGATCTTAGTGTACACTGTGCCTCTACACTGTAACATTCCATGTGAAACAAATCAGCATTGTGTATGCCCAATCTCTCTCTCTGATTTAATCACCTGGAAGCGCACTCGTAGGAATCTATCATTCATTAATATTTTAAACATTACAAGAGGAAGTCTCAGATTGAAGACGAGGGCTCCACCTTCACTACAGCACAACAAGTGTATAAGACGTGCAGTTATATGTATATAAAGCAGTTACTTTCTGTGTGTTTCCTATGTTTAACGACAGTATTATGATCCAGCTGAAGACAAAAATGTAGAAACGAGAGTGTAGTCTCACCGTCGACATGAGCAGACTGTAGTAAATGTGTTACAGACGGGGAAAGTGTCCAGTCCTCTGTCATTGACTCTCCGTCTGTGAGGCGCTGCTCCTCATCTTACAGCCTCTGTTTGCTTTCACGCACGGAGCATTTTGGGACTGGAAGTTTAAAATAAAGGCAGATGCAACTTTAGAGGGAGTGGCCTCGTGTGACTAATAACTACAGCGCCCACAACACACTGCGGTGTTTACGCAAGCGACCTGACAACACCTGAAACCTATCAGTTACCTGCAGTTTCGACTGGAGGGTGATAAGCGTTACCACCGTGCTGTCGCACACACTGGTAGTGAGAAGTGTTTAAGTGAAATTTAATTCGAAAAAATATCTATATAGATTCAATGTATAGTCCACAAACACACTTTAATTCTCTGTATCCACGAATGTTGTCTAAACAGCCGTAGCCGCGGAGCAGTGGTGGGGGTCGTAGGTAAAACAGGTTAGTCTCACAACATAATCATGTTTACCACATTAACTATGTATTAAAATATGTGACGAAGACTAAAAACAACCTATTTGTTTCTGTACATCCACAGACCTTAATATAATTAATGTTGAAATCAGTGGTTGAAGTAAATAATGTACGCAGATAGAGACCGGAAGTAGTTGAATAAGTGGTTGAAAAATAGTTGAAAAATCTATCTTATTTTGTAAAGTCACCTACTAGACCAGGTATTATTTCCTCGATGAGGTTCATGTCTCTATTGTTATATAAAACTTGGTATCACGTATTTAAGTTGTTTCATCAGCTGCATGTTTAGAGCAAATCTGACAATAACGCACAATAGGTGATAGATGAAATAGCAATGAGATTAGCCACATCTCAAGGCTAATCAGCTCTACCTCAAGGTATGTAGATATTGTGTTAATTAAGTGACTTTTTAATAAGTGAAACAGAAAGCTGTGTAAAACATACAACAGTAATTTTTTGTCTGTGTAAAATTACATTTGTTCCAGTTTGAGAAACACTGATCAACATATGCTGTTTTCATGAATATTACGATCAATTAGCTACATTAGATAGTCATCAAATTAATTATAGAAAAAAAGCTGTAAGATGCACACCCAAGTGTCGTGCCACTGCCATGTTAAATTGAAACAACATGTTGCGGAACAACGAAAGACGTTGTGCAAGTGTTTCTCAAAAGTGGTGTATTGATTTGACTGTCTCCCATTATCACTGCAGCTTTGTGTAACAGGACTGAGGTTGACAGCTGTTAATCTCGTCAAGGACAAATGCCTTCTTGTCTCACTGAACAGGTTGTACACACATTTACTATGACAAGGCCCTAGGCTGATCAATAATTGACTGTTAACTTCATATTTGAAGTCTAAAGAAAAAATCAAGACATTTGTTTTTGTTTGGCAGCTCTTATGTTGACCCTACAAATGACAGCATATTAGAATAAACCTGTGTCCCAGAGCTGTTGTAGTCTGTAAATGGAGCTATAGTTTTAGAGGCAGCAGTTCCCAAGGAATGCAAATAAGTACTGTTGAGTAGATTATGAGTCTTCATGCTGCACATATGGCTGGTTGTTCTGGTAGTTTTTAAGTGTTACTAGTTTCTGAGTTGTGTATAATGTTATAACAGAATACCAGAATATGGTGGAAGAGTTACCCAGTAACACTCCTCATGTATAATATTTAATAGCAACATTCTCTTACCTGTTCTTGTAAACTTACTTCACCATTTGCACATTTGTGTTTTGAAAGAGACATTACCTGTATTTATTTCTTCACATTTTTGTCAGTATTGCTAGTCAAATTACCAACGCAGCAGTCCGGTCACAGTGTCAGATCAGAGATGTGTGAACAGACTCTGCTCTCTTGTGGTTGTTTGGTGAATGGAAGGCTGATCATTCTCACGACATGTGAGCTTTTGGTGAACAATGAGTTGATTGTAAAAAGAAAAAGTAGTAAAAAAAAGTACGACAGTGTAGTTTATACTCATAAAAACTGTGACAAATGCACGTAAACGTTTACAAAGAGACGATTTACTCTTTCACAGATAACAATAATAACTACGCAATAACCGCAAGTTTATCTTCGTACTGTTTTACCCTTAAATGCGTCTGAGATCCCTTGAGATGCTGGTTGTAGTTCATACTTTTTGCCCCTTGGTGGCGGTGTTCCCCCATATTTGATAGTATGCTTTGGTTTTTTTTTTTATTTAACAACATTTCTTTTGGGTGCATTTTCAAAGTAAATTATGAGAATAATACGGTTGAATTGTAACTTTAAACTCTGTTGTGGTAAACAGAGAAAACCGATGAAATATAGAGAATATTTCCAAAGACTAAATAAAAAACATATTTGTGGTCTATTTATCGGTAAGTACTACAGTTGCAATTATAGTATTTATTACTACAGACGTGAGTGAATATTGCATTATGACGTTGTTTGTGGTACACCACTAGGAAAGTCTGACATCTGATCATTACCTGTGTGACCAAACTTTGTGAACAGGGGTTTTCCTGTGGACACTTATAATTTGATGATGATTTTGATGTAAATATTCTGAGTATCAGTGTCCCGTAGAATGATAAGATTTAAATGGAGAAGCACTTGTTGAGTTTTTTCCTCCTCAATTCTGTTTCCGCAGAAGTTTGCAGTTCATTTTTATTCTGCAGTGCTCTCACACGTATTGATCTGGTGGACATTGATGTAATGAAGTCATTAAACTGAGGTTTAAAGCCCAGCAAATGATCAGATGTGCAGTCAGATGGAGGTTAGATCTGGGGTTATTCCACTCAGTTTGACGGGTTAAACACAGCCCTGTGACGTGAATGAACTGGAAGTGTCGTAGGGCCTCGTGTACACGCTGCACCCTCAGTGTTCCAGCAATTACTGCTAATTATTTTGACCAAACTCCAAACCTTTTCAAATTGCCTTTAACCATGGTTTTGATGACAATGACATTGTGGTTGGGTTTTAACCACAAAATTGGCCACAGATGCATGAGCAGTGAGAGGTGTTAGCACACTGCTATGATTTGGTGGTTGATCTAGAAAAAATCCAATAGGACTTTTCATATCTGCCAATAGAGCCTCGCAAAGTGCTGATGCATCTAATTCTAGTGTGGAATGGTTTTTTAGAATAACACTCTGTCTTTTTAGATGACTGCACTGCTGCTGGGTTTGGCTGCAGAATTAACACGCCTGGCTGAGACTGCAGCTGTGGAAGGCTTCCTCTCTGTAGTCCTGTTACCTCCAGTGGAGAGCAGCAGCGGGACAATCTTCAGAACACTTGGTAAGTGACAAGAAGACACAGAAATTACACTTTCAGTATTTATTAACTCACAGCTACCCTCACCTATGGTATTTAATTTTTAGTTTGAATTAAAAACAATAATATTATAATGTACGTATAGGTACAGTGTTCTGTTTTAGCAACCCCTAGTGGTGATGTTATCGTTTTTTCTTTTTTCTTCTTCTTCTTTCTTTTTTTAATTTCCCTTGATTTTCTCAACCTGTCTCTCCAATCGTGTAGATGAATATATAGCAGCCTCGAGGTATCATTAAATCGAAACAGTTTATTTTAACTTTACAACCATGGTGTTTCAACTTGGCAACCTACATACAAAAAAAAAAAACTTCCAGTGAAACCGCAAGTCTACATTTTTAAAATAATTAATACAATTATTTTACGTTTACTTTGAGCAAATAAAAATAATATTAAATAATACTAAAAGTGTAAATGGAAGAATGGTCTTTAATGTTAATAACTTTAATTTTATATGTTCGTACTATGATTGTTTTTGATGGTGTCATACGTTCTCTGGCCGTGCCACTCTCTGATTATAGGAGTTTAAAAATGATAGTGTTTCTTCTTTTTTGTTCGAGTTAGGTTGTATTTTAGAAGAATGAAGATTTTTCCTCAATTTAAAAAAACAAAGAATCCTGCTACAATTATCTGACAATACTTTTATACATTTTTTTATTCAGTCACATGACCTGTCAGTAGAATCCTGGGTAATCAGCTCGTGCACCTTAGTTGTGAAGCTGAATTCACGGACTGAAGCAACTCTCTGGGTACAGATGGATTCAAACTTACTTACAGAACTATAACAGTGAACCGCGGAAAAGAAAGTTTTATTAAATGAGTTGAACTATTGTGTGTAATTCATTACCTTTTTATTGAAGTTTTTTACGTTATTTTTGCCCAGAAGTTTTGCTTTACTATCCGTGTGATGAAGCATTTGAAGCAAGTTTTTTTTTTTTAGATGATGATGAGCATAAACTGCATTCCTTCCTGTCTTTTTTCTCAATAATTTGACAAAATCAACAAATCAACATTTATAAAAACATTTCCTTTACAAACAGTCGTTTTGACGTCGTCAGGCGCTTTTAAATCCTGGTTTAATAACTGAAAAAGCGCTAGATGGCGCTACATGGCTAACGTACCAAAACGGACTTAGCAGGAGTTTGAAGCCTGGAGATTTTTTTTTAACTTTACTCCTCACTGGCAGCGGTTGAGAAAAGAAAGGACATGAGATTATACATGAAATATTTATGAGATGGAGAACTGACGTCACCTGCGGTTATTCATCAGTGTGTGCGTGTCTGTAAGTGTGTTTTTTTCTAAATAATTTGAAAAATCTTCCACTGTTGCTGTGCGTCAGTCAGACAAATGAATCATTTCAACAGGACAAATCTGGGTCTTCGCTACCGTGGGTTGAAAAAAAAAAAAAGACATCACGATACAAACAATCAAAATAAGAAAAAAAAAAGATTATAAAGTGTGTGTAGCAGCGTGCGTGAATGTGTTGACAAAACAACTGGAATTAATAATATCATCAAATCAAGTTGTAAACCTAAGATGGAACAGATTTGTAATAAACGTATTTTAAAATCTGCTGAAAAAATAAACTTAATGTTTAATGTTTTTTATTTAACACCTGCGCGATTACTATTGTGTGAACAAGAGCGCTGTCGAAAATAGAGGAAAAACGTTTTTTATTTATATTTTTTAAATGTGTAAATTTAATTTAAATAAAACAAAATGGTTTTGTAGTTTATTTTTATATTTATTCTATATTTGTTTTTATTTATTTTAAAGGACTACATTACAGCAAAAGGAACAAACGTAAAAGCTAAACTCGAAATGACGCTACGCTTAATTACTGCTTTACGCAGTTTGGTTCATTCAAAAAAATTAAATTAAGTGTTGGCCGCGCATTGTGATTTTATTCATGTTAACTTGGATCTTTTTTATTTTGCGCAAACCGACAGAATTATCACGTTTTTAAACCCAAATTATCTTGAATTTTTACAAAACGTTTTTCCCCAGTATTCGGAAATAAACAATTATTTTATGTGTTCACTGAAAGTCAAAAAAATCAACAGTTAAAGATTAAACATCTTCCGTCTGAGGCCTTCACGTCCTTCAAGGCCCAGTTCAGTCTGGCCCTGGAGAACCAGGTAAAATGATTCGTGTGATGAAGACCTTAGAGCTGAGCATCATCTGCTGTATTTTCACAATAACATTGAAAAAAAAGTGTAACATCCCACGTTCTAAATGAATCCGGACAAATTATCAATCGAACCTCACCGGTTTGCTGGGGGACAAATGAATGTTATCGACTCAACAATCAAATAAACCGAGTCGATCAGCTGCTTCTGAATTCATACTGACTTTATTGAGTGGCTTCCATAAGAAGCCATTCTCGGAGGGAAGGAAAAAAAATATCATTGTAAAATTAAAATCACTTTACAACATGCGTACTTAAATTAAACGAGTGGGTAAACAGTAAATGATTTTCCAAACCGTACAAATAAATTCAAAGTGCGCCTACTGGATAGAGCCCTAAATACAAGAAAACTGGTGGTTAAATATAACTCCCCACAATACATTTTCATATCATGTCAAAGAAAAATCCAAATACATTTCCGTATATATTTTTTTTCCCAAATATTTACTAGAGTCCATATACAACTAGAAATACCTATACAAAGTCGTCTCCTGGACAAATACATTACTCACCTTTACATTGGGGATGTATTCAACTCTAAGCTACATCTCTCATTCTATACAGCACAACTTTTGAATCGAAGTGTCGTCACCTCGACTGGCCTTACTTACAAAGTTACAACACGGCCTGTGGGCTGTGGAGTGGACGCAGTGTTTGATACAAAAAAAAAGAAAAACTGACAGAGATCAGACAGTCCAAACCGTCCAGTCACACTCTACAGGTGTGTGTGTGTGTGTGTGTGTGTTCCGTCCTCAGGGACTAGAACCGTTTCTCCTGCCTGATAATAAAGTGCCAGCGTTTGGTTTTGAACAACGTAAATGACAGCAGACAACAACTACAACACAACTCTGCAGGTCGTCTCTGTCAGAGGTCACCACTGTGTCACATCTGTGACCCGGGTCTAAGGTCTGAGAGGCTGTGACCAGGGTCAGGACTAGGATCAGGATCAGAAAGTTTCAGTTGTGCCCCCGAAATATTTTTAAAGATTACACTGTCACACCGCAGATGTATTTCTGACATGTATATATATATATATTTTTTGTTGAAGGAGTTGTTGTCCAGTTAGTAGTTAAACACTTAAAAAGGTCAAAGAGAAACGTACTTGTCGTATCATATGAAGAGTATGGATGAGGCATTTGCGCATACTCTAAAGTATGTCCACATTTCACCACTTCCACCACGACACCTGGCTGTTTTACAGTTTTTTTTTACTTCACTTGTGGAGCGGGGCGGGGGGGCCATTCACAGGCCGTTCATTCCCACTCCCTGGGTGGACTCGGGTGGGTGCAACAGGTCGGGGGAATGACAGGGAGGGCTGCCCGGCGCGCTGTGTTCGCTGTCGGTGTCGCTGCCCCTCTTCCCTCCGCTGCCCCCGGAGCCAGAGCCGGCGGATCCTCCGGCGCTGTGCGTTTTTACGTGTTTACTCAGGTGGTCGCTGCGCATAAATCTCTTGTTGCACACCGGACACGCGAACCTTTTCTCCCCGGTGTGTGTGCGTAAGTGTCGCTGGAGCTCGTCGGAGCGAGTGAATCTTTTGCCGCAAAAGAGCCAGTTGCACACAAACGGCCTCTCGCCGGTGTGCCACCTCAAGTGCGCCTTCAGATGAGACGTTTTACCGTAAACTTTACCACAGCCGGGGATGTGACAGCTGTGGAGACCTTTCCTCCGGAGGCTGGCGCCCGCCGGACCGAGTCTCTCCGCCTCCTGGCAGTTAGGACAGTCGCAGGTGGCTCTGCCGGAATAGCGGCGAGCAGATGACCGCGGAGACCCCGCTAAAGACGCAGGTGGACCCCCGGAGAGCATAGTCCCACCTGCACCGGCTAACGGTGATGGGGTAGAGTCCGGATAAGAGGATAAGACTGGTTTGAAACCGTCCATCAGGTGCTGACCGCTGGTCAACAGGTGTGGAGAGGGACTCGTGCTGAAAGCAGAGTGACTTAAACTGGAATAATCTGAATTATATCCACCCAGAGGTGAGTGCAAGGAAGTCTGGAGTCCACCGGAATGTAGTGATGTCTGTAGTGCGGCTCCGTTCGGGTTCTGAACGTCTATCCATCCCGCGCCAACGTCCCACCACGCCGAGGCTCCCGTGGTCCCGACGTCACCTGCAGTAGGGATGCCGGGGTGAGACGACTTGAACCAGGACTCGTAGGGATGCGCGACGCTCATCCTGGGATAGATGCCCTGTAAACTGTCCACGGAGGTGTGGACCTTGGAGATGAACACCGGCTGGTGGCTGGACTCTTGGGAGCCGCTGGAAACCGACGCTTGGAAAACAGAATAGTCGTTTCCAAAGTGTGAACTCGACGTGGTTCCAGACGTGAGGGAAAAAGCGCTGGATCCAGAGGGGCTGTTGGTGCCGAATGAGTCCGAGATTCCGGATCCGTTGCGGGACACGCCGAAGCCTGAGAGACCGGAGCCGAGGCTACAGCTGCTGGCGGCGGCTCTTTTCCACGGGTGGAAGCCTTTGCCAAAGGACGAGGAGTTATCCGAAATAGCAGACGGTGAAGGGCTCGGACTCCCTATTTTGTTGCATGTTGCAGCCAACATGGCTAAAGGAGTCGAACCTAATCTCGGCTCCTCCTGGAGGGGAGGAAGGAGACAGGAAAAGGAGTTTAGTGACAGAACAGTCGAGCAAGTTGAACGGGTTGAATGGGAAATGTTTTAACGCAGCAATGAGCAGCTGAAAACCAGAAACTGATCCCCCTGAAACCCAGAGCAGCGGCCCCGTCTGTTTAACTCAACTTTTTTTGTTTTGTTTGTTTGTAAATAAACCAACTCTGGAGATCGTCATTACCTGCACGGACAGACAGCGGACAAGTGCAACACACAGCGCCTACAAACGTACAGCAGAGCAGGCAGCAAGGACAACATGCGTGTTTTGGAGCAACAGTACAGGAAAAAGTTCCAGCACAGCCTCGGTCAGCCTCCTGCACCTCTGGAAGTACAAGCTACGGCAGTGGAGCTGCTGCTTTGCTGCGTCTCTGCGAGTTTAATCCCCCCTTCATGCACCGGACAATGACAAGAACTAATTAAAGAAAGTCCTTCAGACTCACCCCTAGAAGTGAAGTTGCCATCACACAAAAACACTGCCCTCCTTTAGAGGATCTTTTTATATTTATGAATCAGAGCACTGTTTTTTTAGAGGTGTGCAATACAATGATGCGTTCCGCCCATTCTTCCACAATTGTAGGCTCCTCTCCCGGCTTTGAAGTGCCGCTGTGACACGGGCGACCAATCAGCGGCCGCGCACACACCGTGAGGTCATCAATAGAAGGCCCTCAGACAGATCTCCGCCCGCCTCCACCCACCTCCACCCCCTCCATAAGAAAAGACGGCGGAAGGAAGGTAAAGTTAAATGAGAGGACGAATTAGGAAGGAGGAATTAAGGGGCCACTTATTGGAGGGCTTTTTTTTTTAACTAAACATCACTTTCCATAAATTTAAAGGAAAGTGGGGAGAGGGTAATGATGGTGATGATGGAGACGAGGCTGCTACGACTGGTCGACTAGCTTACTAATTATGTTAGCTGCTTCACTATCAAAACATTACTGTTGTTTTACTTTAAAATTTATATTTTTGATTTGTGAACAAAATCGAAATATTTAATTGTTTTCAATAATATTGCCACTTTTTTATTTTATTTTAATCGACTTAACTTCAAATAATTGAAAAGCTCAACCAACTTTAACGTTATGTTTATTTGAAGCCTTCAGTGATCACATGGTGGTGTAATAATAACAACACAACAGCACGGACTGGCAGCTATTTTTAATTGCCAACTGATGGTTTTAAAACAGGTTTATATAATATTTTTAAAACAAGTTGGTGTTTCTTTTGGTTCTTGACACATTATTTTTAAAACAACTTTTTTTAGACCTAAAGCTGAAGAGGCTCCTCCCCGTTTTTTTTTTTTTTTTTTTTTTTTTTTTTTGCGTTTTTTTCTTTTCTTTTTTTTCCTCCTCATCACGGGA